AAAGAAAGAAAGAAAGAAAGAAAGAAAGAAAGAAAGAAAGAAAGAAACCTGAAGAAAACACGGTAGCACCCAGGTATTTTTTTTTAAAAAAAATAATTGTCTTAAATTTTAAAAGAAGAAATTTATATATTTAGGCAGGTGGGTAGGCAGGTAAGTAGGCAGGTAGGTGGGTGGGTAGAGGAGCTCTTACTTGAGCAGTAGACTGGAGAACCTCTCAGGTCCCTTCCAACTCTTGTTATTCATTCCACATCCTGCCCTTTCCTGGGATTCTGTGTTCTCTTTTGATACAACCCTAATCAGTTATTTTATCTCTTGATATAACCCTAATCAAAGTTTGATGGGATGTCCTTTCTCCCAACACTGCGTATTTGAGAGTAATGGATTTCCGTTCAGGAGAAAGGGAGAGACGAAAGGGCTCTTCTAAGCAAGGGTTAATGGACTCAAGACCGTGGGAATGGGTGGGCTGGAAAGGACATCAGCTGAAGGAAGGGTTAACCATGGCTGAACCATCATGGAACCTACCAGCAGCGTCAGCAGCTTTCATCGTTCACAGCTCGGCTGGGACTGTTGGGAACAAGAATCCAACCCAGCAGAACTGCACTTGATTAGAGAAAGCTGTTATGCAAGAATATCTTTTCTCATTAGGTTAAAGAAGAGAATAAAGAGTTCAGATGTCCTGGTTCATTACATGAGAATAGAATAGGAATAGAAATAGAATAGGAATAGGAATAGAATATAGAATAGAATAGGGATATAGAATAGGAATACAATATAGACTACACTAGACTAGGAATAGAATATAGACTAGAATAGAATAGGAATAGAATGGAATAGAGAATAGAATAGGACATAAATAGAATGGAATAAAGAGAATATAGAATGAAGTGGAGGTTTTCTAGTCCAGGGGACTCCAACTTTGATAACTTTAAGACCTGTGGACTTCAACTCCCAGAGTTCCTCAGCCAGTTTTGCTTTGATCTCCGGGAGTTTGAAGTACACAATTCTTAAAGTTGCCAAGGTTGGAGACCCCTTGTCTAGTCCAACCTCCTGCTTAGGCAGGAAACTCTAGTTTATACCATTTCAGACAAATTGGTTATCCAATTTCTTTTAAAAAACTTCCAATTTAGCAACATTTACAACTTCTGGGGGGCAAGTTGGTTCCACTGATTAATTGTTCTCACTGTCAGAGAAGAAATTTCAGGGATTGGATTATCTTCAACAGATTCCTTCGCGGCAAAGGAAATGCAGAAGTGTTATTTTCTTTTCCCCAGAAGAAAAAGGATGAACGGATCCAATATCCTTTATCTGGAAGGGTGTTAAATCAAACTTTCAGCTCACATTAAATGATTCTATTCTATGTCTTAACGCCGGGGGGCGCCTCGGTTGATCGGCGCTTCGTGCTTCACGTCTCCCTCCCATAGCGCCTCGAGAGGAATGCTCGAAGAAACCTCATCTGACTAGGCGCGGACCAATCACCTTCGCCGTGTTTGAATCCTACTCATTTGCATACTTGGCGCGCGGGAGCGTGACGGAGCCGACCTTTGGGCCAATAACAACGCTGAGTTTCGGCGGGATGAACCCTCCGGAGGCCTACAAATACTGGAACTTCGGCTTCGCAGCAACATTTCCTGGGGTGGAAATTGAGTAGGTGTTGATTATGCCTGAACCGGCCAAGTCTGCTCCCGCGCCCAAGAAGGGCTCCAAGAAAGCCATCACCAAGACTCAGAAGAAGGGAGATAAGAAGCGCAAGAAGAGCCGCAAGGAGAGCTACTCCATCTATGTCTACAAGGTGCTGAAGCAGGTCCACCCTGACACCGGCATCTCCTCCAAGGCCATGAGCATCATGAACTCCTTCGTCAATGACATTTTCGAGCGCATCGCAGCCGAGGCTTCCCGCCTGGCCCACTACAACAAGCGCTCCACTATCACCTCCCGGGAGATCCAGACGGCCGTGCGCCTCCTTCTGCCCGGAGAGCTGGCCAAACACGCCGTCTCCGAAGGCACCAAGGCTGTCACCAAATACACCAGCTCCAAGTAAAGCTGTTTTCCCAGAGCAAACACCCAAAGGCTCTTTTAAGAGCCACCCACTTTCTCAACGAAAGAGCTGTTCTCTGCTTTTTTACTTCAGGAGAAAAAATAATGTACATAGCTACATGCCAGTTCATACCTAAATCGTGATTTATTTTAGGGCGGGGGGGGCGGGGAAGGAGGCGGGGGGGGGGGTCATTGTCTCTGTAGTTGGGAATTGCATTTTAAATTAAGATTTGGGGGGGGGGGTGGCTCGCTTGCATTTCCTCCTGACTGATAAGATCCACTTCTGATTTTCCCTTTGTCTTAAAGTCCTCAAAATGTTAGTTAGTTCACAATCTTTGCATAAAGTTATCAAATGGACTGGTGTTGGAAGTTAGATTCTTTTTTCCTTTCCTCACTGGTATGTAGTAAAAATATTCTTCCAAATTGTGCTGCCTCAAGATTTGGTTCCCCTTCTGAAAAGGGAAGGGGGAAGAAGCCAAATTTGAGTTGTTTAATGTTGCTTAGTGGGTTTTTTTTCTGTGTCAGGATTTGATTTTTGCAGCACCCTGCAAACCTCAAAAGGTGCTGTTCTTTATAGAGTATTTAACTCAGTAATTAAATCCAAAAGATGATGTCATTCATTTAGCTCTTTTTCATGAGCAAAAGTGGCTTTACTACTTTTCCCAAGGGCCCTAAATATTTCTTGGTTCCCGAAAGTTTAGGTTTGTGGGAAGTTGTCTCTAGTTTTCTCCCTAACAAATTATAAAAATATTTCAGTCAGAGTTAATTTTTAGATTCGAAAGAAGGCAGAAAGAATTCCCTTTAAAAGTGAGCTTTTTAAAAATTCTGCCAAGAAGTATATGAGCCTCTTAATTTAAGATTAGAGGTAGGTTATTTCCATTATCTTTAAGAGACATAGAAAATTGTAGACAGTTTTTAAAAACCAGTTGCCTCTTTCGTCAATTTACCATTAATGGCAGATTAAATGTGTAATAAATGTCTATTACTTGGATTTTCTAAACAGAGGATGCAGGTTTGTATTTTTCAATTCCTAAATGAAATGCTAAATTTAAATTTCTCAATTCCAAAAATAGTAAGGTATGGTTTCTATGTGAGATTGGGGTTTAATCCTAATGTTTACAGTTTCGTCTGTTTAGCTCCATTACAGACCTCGATTTACCAAAATTGAGCCCAAAATTTATGTTGCTATGTGAGAAATTTGTTAAGTGAGTTTTGCCCCATTTTAGGTCTTTTCTTGCCTCAGTTAAGTGAATCATTGTAACCACATTAGTAATATGGTTGTTAAGTGAATCTGGCTTCCCCATTGACTTTGCTTTTCTGAAGGTTGCAAAAGGTGAGTGGCCAAGCATCTGAACTTTGATCAGGTGGCAATACAGATGCTATGTGAGTGTGAAAAAAAGGTCAAAAAGTCTTTTTTTTTCAGTGTTCTTGTAACTTTAGAACAGTCACTAAACAAACTGTTGTAAGTCTAGGACTATTTGTACTCCAACCTTGACAACTTTACTCAAGTATGTTGATATCCTGAAATGGCCAAAATTGAGAAACACAGATTTATTTATAACTTTGTTGTTTGTATCTTATGATTTACATTGTTTTATTTAGTTTCCTAGTATGATTTATGTTAACTGATTATTTAGTATCCTATGACTATCACTAGATAGATTTCTTGTGTGTCCAGTCACACTTCGCCAATAAACCTATTCTATTCTATTCTATTCTATTCTATTCTATTCTATTCTATTCTATTCTATTCTATTCTATTCTATTCCATTCCATTCCATTCCATTCCATTATCTATGTTCTATGTTCTATTCTACTCTGTTCTATTTTCTATTCTATATTCTTGTCCCATTATGGCAAACCTATGCCACACATGCTGGAAGTGGCATGCAGAACCACCTCTCTGGGGATGCCAGCCATCGCCTGTTGGTCTGGGTTCCAGCACGCAGCTGGTCCTCATGCGTGTGGGAGTGCCGGAAACCGGAAGAGCAACTCCTCCAGCACACATGCATGCCCTGGCCAGCTGGTCTTCGCATACGCATGTGCATTAGAAACCAGAAGACCAGGTAACCAGTATTGAGCTTCTAGTTTCCGCTGCACCACGCCAAAGAGCTGCTCTTCCAGTTTCCCGCGCAGGCTCGTGCACTCCCACTTTAGCACTCATTGGCGAGAACGTTTGCCACCACTGTTCTAGTCTATAGTCTATTCTATATTCTATTCTATATACTATTCTATTCTTATTTGAGTACAGAAGCTTCATTCACACCTTCCATATAATACAAATGGAACTGAAGCACAGGAATTTTTCCTGCACCCATTTTTCAATCTGCTTACTATACAATCATTCACGTGGTTGTCCACCCCCTTCTCCCTAAGTAGTAGTAAACCAATATTTTTTTTAGTTGCACAAAGATGGTGGTTAGCTTTGTAGGCTTCATGCATGCCACAGACATCCAAACTATGATTAGCGGGGTGTTTACAACAGCTGGAATTGTCCCTGTGAAGGAATAGGATGGAATCTGACTAATCAGCTGAATAATAAACTATTATATTTGCATCCCTGCCTTAATTGTTGGTACACCATTGCTGGCATACAACATTAAAGCTATTTTGTGGTGCAAATCTTGAAATATTCTGGATGGTAGCCACAGTACCTCCCTTTCTGTTTTATTCCTGCTAAGGTCCTTGCAGTTTCCTCAGGCTGACCACAGAAACACACCAGGATCACAATGTGGGTGTAAACATACATAATTATACTTATTTATTTATTTAATTTATATTGCCACCTATTCGCCCATGGCAACTCAAGGTGGCTTACCCAATGTAAAACCATATTTAAAACAAAAAAATAAAAATAAAAACAATAAAAACTAACAAAATTAACAAATAAATTAGTAAAGTACAATAGAACAAAATTTTGGGGGAAAAATATCCCAACAACAGCCTTTGCAAACTAAAGGCACTACACTGCAGCAGAGAGAAAATAGCATAATTATAATATAATGTAATATACTGTAAGAGAATATAAAAATTACATGGCAGATATGCACTACCTCCAGAGAGAGAGAGAGAAAATATATATATACACATCTGCTTGCCGTTTATACCTCTTGTTCAAAGATGCTGATGCTGGAATAGTTGCTTTAAAATCAGAGAGGTAAAATGAACTCCGGTGGTTTATCTGATAAAGCAGTTGCGTATTTAATCTTTTTAATTTTTCGTAAGAATAAAAAGAAATCATTACGTCCCTGGGTGGGCTCGAACCACCAACCTTTCGGTTAACAGCCGAACGCGCTAACCGATTGCGCCACAGAGACCACTTCGAGAAAGATGGGCGATCGTTCAACCTGAACTTTTACCTAAGATTTGAAAGGGGATTTAATGTGTCCAGCATTGTGATCTCAAAAGCAAATGAACAAGAGCACAACAACCCATTTTTTTCCTCTTGCGTTCGCTTCGCCTGCGAGCTCTCTCCTGCAGTAACAGTGATGCCCCTGAAAAAGAGGAACTTTTACCCCCCTGCTTCGCAGCCAAACATTCTTCAAAGAGAGCTTCAACTCTTTATACTTTAAAAACAGGATTTCTCAATCTTATTGGCAACTTTAAGACTTCAACTCCCAGAATCCCCCACGCCTGTTGCTAAGGGCGAGATACGCTCTTTTAAAGGTGCAGCTTTCCTCCTCTATCGGAGATCACTATCTTCACAAACCTTTCATGCAAGGTTAGATCCTCGGAGAAAGACGCCTTGGCTGCAATTAAATTTTGCAAACACTAATTATTAGGGGGGGGGAGGGGAAATCACCTCTCTCCCCGTCGGGGAATCGAACCCCGGTCTCCCGCATGACAGGCGGGGATACTTACCACTATACTAACGAGGAAACGGCTGTAAAGGTTTTCTAAATCACTTCCTTTGAGTTCCGGAAATCTACAATTGAACCCCAAAATGGAACTGATTTTTTCTCCCAGCATGTGAATTATATATATATTACAGCAAGCATACATTTACTTATTTACCACATACTTTTTCTTTAGAAACAGGTAGATACAATAACACGTGTTGTCCTTTGAGGAAATATGTCACCCTCTTACAGGCGCAATTCTAACAGGTGGAAATGACCTGTATTATTACTTTTCACTGCCCTTTAGAAAAAAGCAAGCAAGCAAAGGGGCTAACCCAAAGATGCTTTTTCTGGAGGGAACTGGACTTTGCTTTTTCTCTTTTGAAGACATTTCATTTCTCATCCAAGAAGCTTCTTCAGCTCTGACAGGATAGCGGGGAATGGAAGCATTTATATTCCTTGCAGATAATAGTCATTTGCATTCAGTTCTAATTCACTGATGGGGAATATCGTCTCTTTTGAAGGGTCACAATCTGGACAGAAAAGACTCCTGGTTTGAAAGAGGAGCCAAAGAAGCCTTCTGTGTTAAAACTTAATAGCTGTTCCTTTGTTGGAAGTTAAAACCCATCCCTCTCCAGGAAATACTTTAGGGTATACTTAAAAAAGGCAGAATATTTCTCCTAAAAGAGAAGTAAAAACTCAGCCCTCAGACCTTTGTTAAGGGGCCATTGAGGCTTTGACCAGTCTATTCTACATAACAAAGATCTACCTCTTTCAGGGAGAACCATTGAATTGCCCTTCATTGCACAACCCACCAAGTTTCAACCAAACTTAGCACACAACCTACAAAGCTAGCTATAACCTCTGACAACAGCCAATCAGGATACACTTCCTGTGCCCCAGAGGGGGCATAAAACCCAGGGATTCTCAGCATCTTCTCCCTTTTTTTTTGCCCAAGAGCTCCAAGGAATGTGATTCTGTCTCCCATTAAACCATCTTTCCAAACAGCTTCCCATGTTTCCCCCCAACTTGAAACTGAACCCAGGATATTTCTTCCAACACCTTAACAGAAGGGGAGGGATGTAACACTACCCATTTACAACACAGCCCTTTCCAGCAGTCCCAAATTTGATTCAGATGACACAAAAGCCAATGTCTACTGTTGAATTCAAGAGTTGTGCCATTCCGTTAAGATCTGAAATTTATTTACCTTTGAAAACAGCCCTGTTAATTTTTCCCTACCTATCCTGGTAGTTATGCCTTTTTGACCCAAGGAGGCTGGGGAACAGCAGTTGAATTTGCGACGACATAATTTAAAGATAAGGCAGCTTAATGTTTTTCTGCCGATTTAAGTTTCTTAAGAATGTTTTAGTCCCTGTAGAAACCAACCCAGCAAATGAAATCTAAAGATTTTGAAAACCGGCGCTTAAAAACTTTTTTCAAGTGAAGTAGCTCTTTTTTTGAGAGTGGGTGGCTCTTAAAAGAGCCTTTGGTGAAATAAAAGAATTCCGAGTGTCACCGTGAAAAAAAAAAGAAATTACTTGGAGCTGGTGTATTTGGTGACGGCCTTGGTGCCCTCGGAGACGGCGTGTTTGGCCAGCTCTCCGGGCAGAAGGAGACGCACAGCCGTCTGTATCTCCCGGGAGGTGATAGTGGAACGTTTGGTGTAGTGGGCCAGGCGGGAAGCCTCGGCTGCGATGCGCTCAAAGATGTCGTTGACGAAGGAGTTCATGATGCTCATGGCCTTGGAGGAGATGCCGGTGTCGGGGTGAACCTGCTTCAGCACTTTGTAGATGTAGATGGAGTAGCTCTCCTTGCGGCTCTTCTTGCGCTTCTTGTCTCCCTTCTTCGGAGTCTTGGTGATGGATTTCTTGGAGCCCTTCTTGGGCACCGGAGTGGATTTAGCTGGTTCAGCCATTCTGGTCAACGGGAGACTTCCGCAAAAGAATGTATAAATGAAAGGCAAGGAAACACCTTTCCTTTATTTATAGGACGCATATGCAAATGAGTGGTTTTAAAATTCTCAGGCACGATTGGTGGAAAAGCGGCCTGCCTTTACACTATTGGAAGAGAAGCCACGAAGTTTTAATTTTATTGAACCTTGGCATTCCCATTGGTGCTTTCAGCTTGAACTTCTCATTGGATCAATTTGAGAATAGCGGCTGCTTATTGGCTAGAAGGGCCAATTACAAATCTCGTACTACTTTTACCTGTTTTGCTTTGGGGGTTTTCTTTTGCAGAAGGCTGAAGATTTTAAATGCCCCCTATTATCTCTCTGCGTACATCCTGCATACTGGGACAATCAGTTCTGTACAAATTATTCAAGACAATTGTGCTACAATTAAATTAACCTTAGAAATATTTTTCAGAGAAAATTTTTTTTTAAGGTGTCAAATTATAAAGAAAAACATACAATCTCGAGCGGGCCGAAATAGCTCAGTTGGGAGAGCGTTAGACTGAAGATCTAAAGGTCCCTGGTTCGATCCCGGGTTTCGGCAAGGGCTGTTTTCTTTTATTTGTAAGGCAAAAAATTTTCAATCTCTGTTCACCCTAATCATTTAACCTAGTCATGTCACAAGCTACCCTTGATGTTGGTTGTTATGCAGAGAAGCCATTTGCTTGGATTTTGCAGTTGCGGAGTTCACTCCGCAAAATAACACGTGAGCCAAGCGAACACAGCATTTCGTATGAAAGCAATCGCTACTGGCCAATTTACAATTTACCCCTCTAGTTCTTTTTAAAAAGTTAAAGCTATCCCAGAAATCTTACTCCAGAAATGTCACACTGAAGTACTTAAAATAGTAAATCTTAGCACCGACTCGCTTTTTCTATCAGGGGCAAATTAACTATGGGAAACGACGCAAACACCGTAGCTGCTTAGAAACCAGGATAAAAGCGCCAGTAATGTGGTTAACGTAGAAGCAGAAAACGGCAAAAAATGACTTAGCAAGTTTACCGTTTGATTTTATTTTTTTAGTTTAATTTATAATTTAACGTCACCCAATACCCAGGTTTCCTTTTGAAGTTTAATTCGTGACCAACAGCTTCTTTAAAGAAAATTTGATTGGCCCTCAAAAGGGCCTTTGTTGTTAGAATTATGGCTTAAGTTTTCGAAGGTTTTAACCGCCGAAGCCGTAGAGGGTGCGTCCCTGGCGCTTCAAGGCGTAGACGACATCCATGGCGGTGACAGTCTTCCTCTTGGCGTGTTCGGTGTAGGTGACTGCATCGCGAATCACGTTCTCCAGAAAGACCTTCAGGACGCCGCGAGTCTCCTCGTAGATCAGGCCCGAAATGCGCTTCACGCCACCGCGGCGAGCCAGACGGCGGATGGCCGGCTTGGTGATGCCCTGGATGTTATCGCGAAGGACTTTCCGGTGCCTCTTGGCGCCTCCTTTCCCCAAGCCTTTGCCTCCTTTTCCACGTCCAGACATCTCGGAAAGGAAAAAAACTACACACCTCCACACTCTACAAGAAGAAAATGTTCGTGGGGGGGAAACGAACGGGCGGATAGTATATATAGCAAGGAATCCGACCAGAAGGAAAACGTAGCAGCTATTGCCATTGTTATTTTGCATAATAAAGGCTAATCCAATCCATGCGGCGCGGCGCGTTTCAAACTACCCAATCAGCGTATGGTTAAAGAAAGGCTTCTCGGCGCCATTGTTAACTTTCCGGGAGCGGTTCTGATACAGTTTGGAATCTTCTAAACGATTAAGCTTTGGCATATATATAAATATAAATGCTAAACCTTAATTCGATAGAACGTTTTTCTTTGCGTTTTTCTTCTTTGTGGACGCTTCTCAATGGAATTGTTCTTTTAACAATACACTCAAAAAGTGTTGGGCGTAGAAACGAATACTATAGTAATTAAAATTTAGCCCAGCAAAAATTAATGGACTTCAAGGTGACATAGAACTAATCTCATCAACTTCCTGTTCGGAGCCCTTCATACAGTATAGACCCCTCTCTCATTATACTCTTAAACGGAAGGTCTGAAATGCCACATCAAACAATTACTTTGGAGCAACAATAAAGGCAGAATATTTGGGCCGAAATAAAAGATATATGAACGCAGGATCGAAAGATCTAGCCTTAATGTATGGAATTTACAGCTGCAGAATGAAACTTTCTGCTAGCCATTCAAATGGAGGCCAGACTATTTTGCCACAATCAATAAGGAGGGAAAAGTCATTTTCCCAGTAGAAAGAGAAAGTCAAAAGAGGAAAGAGAAGCTGGAAAATAGATTCTTGGTCTGGGAGATCCCCCAAAGCTTAGACTGCCAACCAGGGTTGTTCTTGGGGCAGGTCCTGGAGACTAGAAAAGAAGGACTAGGGGATGACTTGTCCCAAAGGTGCTTTTTCAAGAGGCAACTAGACTTTCTGGGTTTTTTTTTTCTTTGAAGACATTTCGTTCCTCATCCAAGAAGCTTCTTCCGCTCTACCCACTATCCAATCAGCGCTGAAGAAGCTTCTTGGATGAGAAGTGAAAAGTCTTTAAAAAAGAAAAGAAAAAAAAAAACGTCAAGAAACAGTCCAGCTGCTTCCTGAAAGAATAAAAGCACCTTTGGAACAACTATGACCTGAATGACGGAGAATCTCCACTGAATTCTAACAAAACCGTTTGTGCTTCAGTGTTCCGTTCAAAGTACTTTGTGGCTATTTTTAGGGCTGCAAGTGTGAGTGAATGACCACCATTAAGTTGAACACGTAGCACACCTATAACACTGAGGTTTGGGGGAAGGCGACACTTGAAGAGGATTGACAGAACTGCTTATTTGAACTCTTGTTGGTGGCCCACTCCGTGATTTGGGAGTTTTCCTGGAACTCACAGCTGCTGCTAGATGGGGAAGCAGAGACTATGAGGTCAAGTGAGTGTGGGTGTGTGGGCTTGGGTGTGTACAAATTGCAATCTCCCCTCTGTTCAAACTCCTGCAATAGAGGCAGAGCTGCCTTGGAAGACTATTGTAGAAACTTCCAAATGGTCCAGAAGACAGCTGGATGGATGGATGTTGGAAGATACATTTCACATGTTACAGGGGGTCCTCAACTTATGACCACAATGGAGCCTAAAATTTCTGTTGAACATTGCCGTTTTGATTACCTTTCTCGCCAGTTAATCGCTGCAGTTATGAAGTTAGCAGCATGGTTGTTAAGCTCCCCGTTTGACTTTGCTCGACTCCGGGACGCTACAACAGTCACAAGTACATGTCAGTTGCCAAGCCTCTTAATTTTGATCATGTGACCATAGCGGTGCTGTAACAGTCATGTGAAAAGCATGTTGTGTGAAAAACGGTCACATGTCACTTTTCTCAGTTGTGTTATACCTTCAAATGGTTGCTAAATAAACTTGTTTTACCGGTACAGGGTTTTTTGGAGTTCTGTGCTGGTTCCCCATTACCAGTACAATTCAAAGTGCTTCTTTTGAGCATTAACCCCATACATGGGCCAATATCTGCCTATTTACAGGGACTCCTTCCCTGCCCAATATCAGCCCATCCAATTCAGATGCTCCAGAACTTTTGTGAGGTGTAAACAGGTAGAAACTTGTAGTTGTCTCTTTTCTGTGGGTACCCTTGGAAATAAGATTCTCCTCCGCCCCGCCATAGATCTGTCCTCAATCTATCAACTTTCCTTAGTCTCATTTGCTGGTGGTTAAGCCAACATTTAGCCCAAACATGACCAACACCGGAGTCAGGTGATCGGTGGGATCACCTTTCCCGAAGGACATCTACTCATCCTACCAAACTCAAACTAAACTAGGGTGGGGTATGCTCTGAGCCCTTTCCCGCAAATATTGTCATCTGATGGCTAGTAGGAAGCCTGCCTCTTCGCTGGCAGCCTGTCCTATGGCATACCTCCCCCCCCCCCCCAACAAAATATGGCAGGCCTCCACCTTCCTGACTTTTTGTAAATCTGTTGTGGCCCGCTGACGGAGCTGGGAGGAACCTGGGCCACTCTTGGAGGCTGAGGAGGGCTAGGATGAGGGCTCTGCATCAGAGGCAGGGATGGGGCTGGGGTAGACTGGCAGTCAGCAGCTGCCTTCAGACTCAGACAGCAGTGAGGCTGGAGTGTTTCTGGAACTGGTTCCCAGCCTGTGCAGGAGCAGGGCTATCAGAAGACAAGAACAATTGAGAAAGCAGGGTTGACTTAGGAGTAAGATCACACCTCGGAGATGATTGGCCCTTCCCATAGGACATAAAAGAAGAGCAAACGGGACATGAGCTTTTGCAGGAAACACTTAGTTCGTCTAGTTGGTTCAAGTTTTGAAAAGTTCTGTTTGACTGTGTCAAGTTTGGCCTTGCCCTGCAATTAGTTCTCTGGCAGCATTCCAAGTGCGATAAGGTGGGTGTTTATCAACATTCCCCTGAAAGACTGTTTTGTAGGCATATAAAAGTGGTTTTGCTGGGATTGTGTTTTATACTTTCTAAGGAAGCCTAGGTCAGAACAAATGCTTTGAAGACCCAGCTTGGAATAACATGAGGTTGCTGCACATCAGACTTAGCAGCAGGGTTTTATTATAATATAGAATAAAAAATTGTTCAATGTGGTTAGTGTTTCTTTAATAGTTCTAATATGGCTTTTATTCTGCTTTAGGTTTCGATTGGGAGCTCCCACCCCCCGAGTTAGTTATAGATGGGCAGCTGCATATTTAACAAATAATAAAAACCCATTTGCCAAATGTTGTACTGGGTATAACTTCTTCCCCGCTCAGCCCAAACGCCATCCGCACCAACAGACATCAAGCCAGTCGTCTAAAAACAATACATCTTTTTTATTGTTAAGTCAATAAAGAGGTATCAAAATTAAGAGGAAAAAAATTACAAGGGATGGAACTGAACTAGAGGAGCAGATGAAGGGAAGGAGGTGGGAAGAAGACGACAACGACGAAGGGCGGATGCCAACAGAAGACACGAATATTTGTAAAACACAAGGCTGCAAGAAGGGGAAGGGGGCAGTGAGGAAGCAGCCAGCAAATGGGAGGGAGAGGAGACGGGGGGGGGGGTGCAAGAGGCTCAATCAGAAGAACGCTATGTGGGCCAAGGAGCAGAGAAGGGAGAGAGGTATGTTAGGTTCTTAGGAGTCATCTTCGCCATTGGCACTGTCTCTGTCGTCTTCCCCTTCTTCCGGTTCCTTATCGTCGCCCTTGATGGACTCCAACTGGGAGAGAGAAGGGGATAGGCAGAAGAGCCGAGTTAGCAAACGGGGAGAGCCGCCATCCTCACTCGAGGCTCTCTGCCTTCTCCAGCTTCGTACCTGGTCGTCTCCCCGGTCTTCGTTGTCGTCGTCATCCAGCAGGTCTCCTTCCTCGGCTGAGTCATCTGCCCCGGCCTCAGATTCCATCTTCACATTGCTCTCTTCTTTCTTGGTCGAGCTGCTGCTTTGCTCTTCTTCTGACTTGTCGTTCTTCAGTTCTGGGAAGGGAGGAGAGGCGGGCAGAGTTAATCAGGCTTGGGGTTCACTATCATTTCGGCCTCCTGCCAATTGCCTAGCAGTGAAAACTCTGGAGGGGAGCTTAACCATTACAAAAGATTATCCAACCTTCCCCCTGCCCCTCCCAACCATCCTACAAAACGGGCCAATAGTTAGCAATACTTTTGAGGAAATAGCAGCTTCTGCAGTTCATATCCTGCTTGGAAGGCTGCTGTAGAAAGGTTTTCCTTTATGCATGCAAGATTCTACTGCTGCAAGTGGTGGGGTGGCCTAGTGGGGGAGCTCTTGCCTCACAATCAGGAGACTGTGAGTTTGATCCTAGGTAGAGGCAAATATTTCTCTCTCTGAATACAATGAGAATATATCTGCTGGAAAAAACCTCTGCAAGGGTGACAGGTAGAGCATCCGGCCACTCAGCTCCATTCAGTTGCTAGACACCCCATCCCCGGGCAAGGGATTATGGGGTCATTAAAGGAGGATGATGGAAGAGTCTAGTGAGGCATATGCTCCTATAATGGGGTAAGAATATCTTGGGAGGACCGGAAGAGGTTAGCAATGTTTCAAGCCAGGCATGCATCCCACATGGATCTCCAGGCAATTTATCCCTCCCCTCCCTTCCCCCTCTCCCCTCCTACTATTTACTTTGATCCTTCTCTATCTTCTCAAGGCTTTCCAGCAGGCAATCCACTTTCTGCTTAATCTGGGTCAGTTCCTTCTTAATGGCCTGCAAGTCATCTCCTTTCACTGCAACACAGAAGGGAAGCTCAATTAACTGGAAGTTTCAGCACCAGAACTTATTAAATAAGCATAAAATACTCAAGAAAACAAATAAAAGGGGGAGAGAAAATCCACACACCCCCATCTTCCTTTCTTTTAAAAGCCCTCCTCCCTTTCCTCATCAAAAAGGCATTGCAGAATGTTTCAGCATTTGTGGCAGCCAGGTTGAAGCAGGGAGGATGGCAGACTTTGGAATAACCCAATTTAAATAATACACAAAATCTCTCCCCCACCACTCCCCCATTTGCTATAGATCCTGATCAACCTTCCAACACCTACATTTCCCAGATTTGGAAGACGACCCCCGCTGCCCGCTCTTCGAGTTGAATCCGCTCTTCCCTCTGCGAGAGGTATTGCCAGAAACCCGCTGGCGTTTGGAAGGAACCACAGCCCTGGCAATGGGGGGTGGAGGGGGCACTCGTGCTTGGTAGCTGTACATCCTAGGAGAACCCGAAAAGGAGGGGAAAAATATGTATCTTAGCTTCAAAACCACTTTGTGAATATACCGCCCAGCATCGCACTGCAAATCTCTTCTGAGGTTTCTCAAAATACCTTCTTCTAATTAGATCAGCTAATTGAGGGCATTATGTACTCCTTTCAAAACAGCTCGTCTCTTTCTGTAACATACCCAAACCTCAGAAATATATCTCTCAAGGCTAAAGAAGATGGTCCAGAACTATGTTAGAATCAGAATGCAGCTGGAAAGGACCTTGGAGGTCTTCTAGACCAACTCTCTGCTAAGGATGAGACCTGCTAAGGAGGAGATACTTGAGACAGGTCTTTTCTTTAAAAAAAAACTTCCAACGATGCAGCTCTTATAACTTAAACTCTGCTCTTATACACCCCTTCCCTCTCTCCCAAAACAATTGATTAAAATCTTTTCTTAAATCTTGTTAATACAATCAATGGCTACCCATTTTCTTCCTAACTTTGGAAAATAAGAGATCTCAAGAGATTAATTCCCATTAAATTAAACATTTGGGAGTTAAGGGGCATGCAGACATCCTCTACAAAGTCACAGAAGGACTTTTTATTAACAAAGAGAGGATGAGAGCATTAAGTTTACATTCCATGAATTAAATGGAACGAATATGCTTAGTTTCCAACAACCCTCCCTCCAACGTTTTATAAATTTGAATCCAATTCACTGGATCTGGAGTTTGAGCCCAAGGTTTCGGGAGCCTGCATGCAGACCCTCAGGGACTTTAGTTCTGTACTTCTGTTCTACAGCAACACTTTACTGGAATGTGTGTGTATGCAATGCAGTAAACTTCCCTGTCTCAAGCCCATCACACCCCAGAGAACTGTTTATAACATTACAAAATGGAAGTGTGCCAATTGAGACCCTCTATCGACTCAGAATTATCTATCCTAACAAATCTCTCTAGATCAGGAATGTCAAACTCAATTTCATTGAGGGCAACATCAGGGTTGTGTTTGACCTTGGGGGGGATGGCCAGTTTGACATCACTTGTGTCGGGAGCACCTGCAGTGGCCTGAGCACTGTGCCAGTGAAAATGGAGGTTGGGAGGACCGTGCGTGGCCCTCCTGAGCTCTGTTTTTTTTTTCTGGTAGAGGGTTGCAGGAGGCCGTTGCAGCAAAAAAATGAGTTTTTTGGGGGGGAAGCATGCATGCAGCCCTCCCAAGCTGTTTTCACTGGCAGAGGCACTCCTGGCCGATCCTTTGGTATTTCCAGGACTGCTCCATGGGCCAGATCTAAGCACCCCATGGACTACATCCAGCCCACGGGCCTTGTGTTTGACACCCTTGTTCTATATGTTCAAGCCTATCTGAAGAGGTCAGCATTACCCTCATGCAGAGAATGAATTTCACCATTAGTGTATATCCTGTCTCAGAGCTGGGGCTCTTCCTCAGCCTCTTTCCTTTGGCTGAATCTGCAGGCATCTTACTACAGGGATGCTTCTGGAGCATTCCAGGAACCAGGTACCCATCCCTTTGATGAAGCACGGCCTCCATCTTCTTCCTCCCCCCTCTCTGCAGCTTTGGCAGTGGCTACAACACTGCCAAACCTCTGGCTCTTGCTCAGTGGGTGAACATTACACTTCTGAGAATGAGCTATACAGTACAAACCATCTCCAGAAATAGAGAGGACATTTAGTGCTCCCCTTTAATACAACTGTTGAAAAGAAGATATGATTGCCAGCCAATACTTTTTTGGCGAAGAGCTGCCATTAGTCTTTAAGTTTGTGTCCTAAAGACATTAGTACAAAAGCTATTTTGCAAAGCTAAGCTAAGCTAAGCTAAAATCTAATTGTTTTAATTAAAATTGAATACAGTATTTCTACTATGTATTTGATAAATCCCTCACTCAATCTCTCTCTCTCTCACACACACACAATTTATAGCCTGTGTAATTGGGCAACAACTTTGGGAGTTTTCCGGGAGCCACACTGAAGGCTATGAGGAGGATGTGAGCAGAGCCCTAAGATTTTTTGTTCGCTAGGTCTGTGATCTCAGTTCAGAGCTGTGTTTTCCCACCAGTTAAAAACACAAAAACTGAGCAGTACAACTTGACACCACATACCTGTCATAATAGTCACGCTGGAAGTCATAATCAAGGTCAAATGAAGACCTGAAAGACAGAGCATTGGAACAACACGGTCAGGTCTCAAGGAGGTTGGGGACCTCAGCCCCCCCACCTTCTAAAGGGCTGAGGATCACAAGACAATCCTTTAAACTATCAGCATGAAGAGTCTGCTCACAGCCCAATTTAACAAAAAGTGAAACTGTTTAGTTACAATGCAAAGATGAAAGCAAGCAGGGTCCCATCCAATTTCCCCTCTCCGCATTGCCACCCCCCCTTTTTTTTTAAAAAAAGGCTGCTTGGCAGTGTGACCCTCCCCTCCAGTTTTATCCACCCCAAATACATCAAAGCCACGCTGACAGTCAGATGGATTGCTTCAAGTGCTCGGTGCACAGGCAGGCGTGCGCACGCACACACACACACAGAGGCACGGCCATCCACAAATACAATTGGATTTTGCATCTTGCACCCAAGCTGGACAGCAAGGCAGATAGAGGCATTGCTCATTCCAGAGCCCATTCCAAAATTAAATTAGGAAATTCAAAAAATAAAAATAAAAGAGAGAGGGAGAGAGAGAGAGGTTAAAAATAATGTAAACGTAAGGGTCCCGACCTGACTAGAGGGGACGGAGAAGGTGGTGCGGCTACTGACCCGTACATCTCTGTGGCCGATCTCTTCACCCCAGCTTTACCCCGGTTCAACTTCGGCTCCGCAGCCAGATTAATATCTGAACGAGACACAGAAGCTCAAGTTTGAAACCTAGGATCTCCACAGGCTCTTGGGAGAAATTGCAATTCTGCTGCCATACGGGTAATAATGTGGTTTTTCTTGCTTGAGGAGAATAAACTTTGCCAGAAGTCCCCACTAGCTAATTGCTAAGACGTTTAAAAACACGTCCGCCAAATGTTGGAAAAAAATGTATATATACATATATACATATACATATACAGTTAAAGAAAATGATAAAGAAACGTATAGATTTGAAGCCAGAAATATTCTTGTTAGGTATTTTGCCAGAAAAAATATAATAAAGGGAATGTATATTTAATACAACATGTTTTGACAGCAGTGAGAATTGTATAACACTGGAAAAAATGAGGAAACTCTTTCAGATGAAAATACAATCAAAAAAATAATTAGATTGTGCTGAATTAGATAAAGGATAGAGAAGACACAGAGTATTTTTTAACTTGGGATTTGCTTTATCAATAGTTAGATAATAAATATATGTGTTCAAAACTAAAACATCTTTTTACTGTTCTGTATCCTGTACAGATGCAGAGAGAGAAACTCCACAAAACATCCATAACGAAGTACTTTTATTGGTACATCAGGTATCCTCATAACTCACATTTGTGATGAAGTTCTTCTTTAATGACCAATCCTTTGTATATCTTTCTTGTAGGTAAAAAGATGGTTTATCTCCTATCCTTTTTCTCCCATCTTGTAATGATAGATCGATTACCCTGAGTCCATGAGTACAGCCAAGAGTGAGGAAAACTCCAACCCATCGAGGGTCAATTTAGTGACCAATTAGGATTACAGATGTGGTCACGTGACATGGACTCCATTTCCAGGATACCTTAACTACATTTACCATGATGCATTCCCTTAAGGAATTGCTACCTAACTATCCAATTCCCATACACTGGCTGGACAGCACAGTATGAATTAGAAGTTGGAAGAATATTATTACATATAAATATTATTACTATTATTATGTATATGTAAAATGAGCCAGACAATACTATTAAATACGTATATGTTAAAGGAAAATATATAAAAATGTTTTTAAAAAAGAAGTCCCTGGCTAATTACTGAGGAATCTGGGAGATTAGGGTTACAATAATTGTAGAACACCAGAAAGAAGACTGGCTGAAAATATTGTTATCTACCAGCCGTCTTTACTTATAATATCTGGAAAAGGGAAATGTTATAGACGCTCTCTGGTTCAGTTTATGGTCACCCATTCACACAGCCTGTCAGAGTATGCAGATCTTGTAAGCCCACCTTGCTTCTTACCTGGGTTTTCCAGATAAGTGAGGTTAAGAGCAGACAACACACAGCCTTGGTCAATGGCTCAGAATTTAATTAGAGAGACATTCGAATCCCTTTCAATCAAACATTGAGGCACAACTGGTTCTTTGAAACATATTCATCCCCCCTGGGTGGGGATTTCAAGTTAACAGCAAAACTTCATCAGTTATACTGTGCATTTGTTCTTTCTCGCGTCCACCCACGCATTTGTCCACACTTATGTGCTTGTTAAACTAGGATGCCAGGCACTAACTTAGAAGGATGGAAGCTCTGAATCCAAAGAAGTGGGTGGGCTTTAAGACCCCTTGCATCTCCCACAGGTCCTACTTTGTGGATTCACAATGCTGGCAGATACTCTTGCCCTAATTTGCACATCTGGTACCTGTTGATGGGATCTCAGAGAGGTTTCCATGTGCTCAGGCCCAACTTATCCTGTAATCTGCAACTCTTACACTGCAAAAACATATATGGACTGCACTAGATCAGGGCAAAGCAATAGATGCAATCTACATAGACTTCTGTAAAGCCTTTGATTCAGTGGTACACGACAAACTATTCCTAAAACTAAAATCTTATGGTATCTGGACACCTGCATAACTGGATAGAAGCATTCCTGTCAAACAGACAAACAAATAGTCAAAATTGGGAGCATCCTATCAAATTCTGTACCTGTCAACAGTGGTGTCCCTCAAGGCAGTGTTCTAGGACCAACTATCTTTGTACTCTACATAAATGACCTCTGTGGTCATATTAAGAGCAACTGCGTTCTCTTTGCTGACGATGTAAAGCTATTCATCACCACAGACAATACTGCTACCCTTCAAAAAGACCTTGACTATGTATCAGAATGGTCAAACAACTTCAAATCTCAACACATAAATGCTCTGTCGTACATATTGGCAAAAAAAATCAGAAAATAAAATACAAGCTGAATAGTCAAGTCCTTGTTGATGATCCAAATTCTGTCAAGGATCTTGGAGTACTCATCTCTAATGATCTAAGTGCTAGAGCCCACTGTAACTCCATAGCCAAAAAGGCATTAAGAGTTGTTAACCTAATCCTGCGTAGTTTTTTCTCTGGTAATATCACACTACTAAGTAGGGCATACAAAACATTTGCCAGACCAATACTTGAATACAGATCATCAGTCTGGAACCTGCATTACGTATCTGATATTAATTAACACAGTTGAGAAAGTCCAGAAATATTTCACAAGAAGAGTTCTCCACTCCTTTACTCATTGCAGAATACCTTATGCCACCAGACTTGAAATTCTAGACCTAGAAAACCTACAACTAAGCCACCTTCGGTCTGATCTAAGTATAGTATATACAACCATACATTGTAATGTCCTGTCAATGACTACTTCAGTTTCAACCATAACAGTACAAGAGTACACAACAGATACAAACTCAAGATAAACCGCACCAAACTTGATTGCAGGAAATATGACTTCAGCAACAGTGATCAGTGTCTGCATATATTCTACCTGACTGTGGTCTCTTCCCCTAACTCCAAAAACGTTAACCGTAGACTGTCTACTATTGATCTCACCCCTTTCCTAAGAGGTCTGTACGGGGCGTGCATAAGTGTACCAACGTGCCTACCGTCCCTGTCCTACTGTTTCTTTTTATTTCTCTTATATGTATCAATTTCATGTATTCGTAACTATATTTATACTCATACCCATTATCTTATAATCGCTTGACCAATAAATAAATAAACTTCCGTTATCTGGCAACATATTTCCCCTTTGTTTTCTTAGCTCCCCAAAGGGATCTTTTGGACAACATTCCTGAGGGTTTTTTTTGTCTTCCCTGCTTCATCTTTAGATATGGCAGCTTTGGACTAGTCTCACAAAAATCCACCCATTTCTAAGGGTCTCTGCTCCATTTTTAAACTGTGCTGTTGTATACTTTAAGGCTTAGTCCAAACCTGCCTTCCATTTGTACTTGTTTTTGTGCTGAAAATAACTGGGCTCTATCTTCTGCCTGACTACTTTTCAAATATTGGACATTATCTTTGTACTCCCTGCTTCAATCCCAGCAAAACAATTCCAGCTTTTAAAAACATTTGCTATTATGTAAGTGGCCATTATTGAACATTCTTTTGAAATTGTGGAGCCTTGATCTGAAGGCAAAACTTCAATTATAATTTGCCTGGCACTGAACAGAGCAGAATTGCATTTTTCATGAGCTGAACAGTAATCTTCTCCTGGGACAACCTATTTATGTTAATTTTTAAGGAACCACAGTACTGTCTCATATATTATCCAATAGATGCCTGGAACTTTTTTCCACGTATACAACGAACCACTCTTCCCAAATCTACATGAAATTTTGATTTTTGGGTTTCAACACATAAAGCATGTCGTTTTCTGAATCTAATCACATTACTCTCAGCCTTGTATCATCAGTAAATTAGATAAAGCATTGCTTTATATGAAGGCAGGACAAGAAGCAATGAATTGAAAATAAACAAGAAGCTATCTGACCTAAAACTAAGGAGACATTTCCTGACAGAATAATTACTTAGTGGAACAACTTGCCCTCAGAAATATTTCAACACTGGAGGTTTTTAAGAAGAGATTGGCTAACCTGCTTGACCAAGGAGTCCTTCCAATGTCCCTTCCAACTGTTATTCTCTTATCTAAAACATTTGTAAAATCCTAAGAACTGGGGAAGCCTTGGAAGCCAGATTCTAATCCAAATTAAAAGTAGCAATAGCACTTAAGACTTATATGCCACTTCGTAGTGCTTTACAGCCCTCTTAAGCGGATTAAGAGTCAGCACATTGCCCCCAACCATCTGGCTCCTCATTTTACCAACCTCGGAAGGTTAGAAAGCTGAGTCAACCTTGAGCTGGTCAGAATCAAACTCCAGGCAGTGAGCAGTGAGTTAGCCTGCAATACTGCCTTCTAACCACTGTGCAGCCAGGGCTGTCAAACTCCCAGCCCGCAGGCCAGATGTGTCACAGTCTGGCCACGCCCGTGCCCGGTTTAGCAAAAGGGGGGAAAGTCCTGATATATCACGTTATGCCGCCATGATGGCATGAGTTTGACACCCCTGATCTAAGTAGTCTGGCATAGGATGGCTCCACCTTGGGGTTTTTGGACATCCAAGAAAGGAGAGAGCCTAACATCTTCCTGGGTAAACACAGCAACATGCCTGCAAAAATCTCTTTATATGTTGTTACAACACTCCTTACAACACCCAGTTAATATCCTTGGCACATTGCCTAAAATGGGAGTGGCAGAGGGAGAAAAAGCCCACTCCATATCACAAAGGTGAACCACCTGAAGCCATACAGGGTTGCAGGGCTGCCACCCATGGAAAGCAGAAACAAATATAGGAAGTCCTCCGACGTACAATCCATTTAGGGACCATTCAAAGTTGTCACGGCACTGAAAGTAGTTACTTACGACCGTTTGTCACACTTATGACTGTTGTGGCATTCCCCCGCCCCCCGTCACCTAATCAAAATTCAGGTGCTTGGCCACCGACTCTTAAGTTATAAAGGAAGCCGGATTCAATTAACAACCATGTTATTAATTTAACAGCTGCAGTGCTTTACTGAACAGCAAACAGTTGGCAATGAAGGTTGTAAAAATGGGGGCGGGGGTGTTTAAAATCGCTTAACAAAAATCTCCCTTAACAACAGAGGTTTATGGCTCCCTTACATCGAGGACTAGCTGTTCTTTCTTGCAAGATGTGGCACACCATTATAAAAAGCCAGGGCAGTCTGGGGCTAAAAGATCTGCCTACCTAGCAGCAGCAGCAGGATCCAAACCGTATAGCGTTGCTAATAAAACACATCATCATTTCAGAGGCTCAAGTTACCTAGAAAACGTCCTTCTTCCCTTTTGTTGCTGAAGAAAACCACTATCACCTTTCACAAACAACTAGCCAAGTGGAAGGTGAGAGAATAAGCTTTAAAAAAAAAATCTTCCTAGAGGGGGGTTGGGATATTGAGTGGGAAAAACATCAGCAATTTTGTCTTCTGTTGACAGGGGAAAAAACAAATGTTGTCCTCAGAAAAGAAAGGAAAAATCCCCTCCGGCATAGGCATGAGCATGTCTGAACTAGAGCACAGGTTTTTTGCACCTGACATTAACAGGCAGGTCCCAACGACTGCTGAGAAGGGGGAAGGGAGCTTTTCTTGAAGGGGGAAGCCTTGAATTTCTTCTCGACTTCCAACTTTTTTTTTTTAATTAGTATGTCAAAGCATGACAGGCCAGATGATCTGAAACATTGTTGAGCTAAATCATTCTTGTGACACTTATTTGCACAGCTGTAAATAGCCAGGAGAGGAATGAATCTGCGTTCTGGTGGTGATGGGACTTTAATAATTTGGGTTCAGACAAAGTCCACCACTCTAAAGCTGGTCTCAGTGAATCCAACAAGCTTATACACCCCTTTCTTTAAAAAAGGCATATATATGTGTGCTTTTCTCTAGTCTTGTTTCCAGGAAAAATGTTAAGTATCAGGTAGGACATTGAATGTTCTTTAAATTTACCCTCCTGTTCTCAGGTTCCAGAAAGCTCCTAGATCAAGGCAAAGCCAGGCCAAGAATATTTCTGTTTAGATCTTTGTCATCCCACTCATAGACCAGATCAGAAACATACTCCATAGGAAGGCTGAAACTACATTCCCCAATATATCTTAATTAACTGCTCCCACCTTCCTTTCACTTTCCATTTTCTATACCAGAAATCCCTTCACACACAAACATAAAAAGGCAGCAACATGTATCGTTTGCATAGGGGCTCCATAAGCAGACCCCTGCTGAACAAGGCAAAAGGGAAACAAAAGTTCTTTGATAGAAGAACCACAGCGTCAATTTCAATGGGATGATGGAAGAACAGAAGGGCCAACCTTGGAAGTTGCCTACTTACCAAGGACCTGACCTGCTATCATCCTGCCATCCTCTCCCGCCACTGCAGAGCGGGCGTTGCGCTCGTTCACATACTGCACAAACGCAAAGCCCTTGTGCACGGAGCAACCCACAATCTTGCCGTACTTGGAGAAGATGGCTTCCACGTCAGACTTCTTGACCACGAGGGTATTGAGGTTTCCGATGAAGACACGGGAATTGAGGGAACGGGGATCTGTCTTGTTGGTGACGTTGCTGGCCATAGCTCCCCCACGCAGCAGAAAGGCTAACCTGCTGCCAAGGCCAGGGAAAGGGAGAAAAAGATGGGTCAGCAAAAGGAAAAGGGTCAGATGCCACAGCTTTTTTACACACCAATTATAACCAACTACAACAAAAAACACAAACACACACATTTCGGGGGCATCATCTGACAAGTAGCACTTTCTCAGAATGAAACGCTACCAGCGTGAGGCATGCTGGGAAATCTCAGATGCATCCTCCTAGGTATAAGATACAGCAGTTTTGGCACACATACAAAAATGTCAACACTAGAAAAAATTCCTGAAAAGAAAACATTAAGAGAAAGGGATATATTTTTACCATTAGCCTACCATAGTTACTATCTTATTAAAAAAAGCTGTATTAGAATTGGATATATGAAAATAATTTTGTCTAAAAGATGCGAAGGCCTTCAGTTCAAACTGCTTCCATTTCCATATTTTTTTCAGCATCAAACATCTTCTGAACAATGTCAACTCAACTCCTACCTTGGTTCTGTTCCAAGCAGCATTGTCAGGAAAACGCAATCTACCATTTCAATACATGCTTTGGTCAATACAAGCAGCAGCATATGTAAGACAGATGCAGGAAGCCAGTTCAGAGGCAATTAATGAAAGTACTCTCATTATCAAGAGGAAATCTTCCCTGATTTCTTCTTAAAATTGAGATGAATCTATAAATAAAGGACGCCTAACATTTTCAGGATCCTGCATGTTCTAACCTCCTCCTTCAATGTAAGGACATTTTAATTAAGAAAGCAATCCAAATCCAATTTGGGAAAGATTTATATGAAGGAACTAATTACCACAAGTCTCTGTCGATAGATTTAGGCGACATGTTAGAAGGGTCTGCACTTGTATCTGATGCTTTGTACATGGCCATGTTCAGAGTGCTTTCTAGCAGCACTCTGAAAGCTTTGACTTCTCCTGATTACATGCAGGAACTGTGAAGGTTAGAAAAAGGGAGTGGCCTCTTTAAGGCGCTGCTGACAGACTGCAGAGATCCAAGAGTACCTTCTTGTTTTGGATTCAAATACCTGTACATTGCCTTTTATGCATTAACGGACAATAACGTATTTTATATGATTTGAGCAAATGAATACCTTATCACTGCTGGAATCTCACTCTTGTGCAAACTCAAGGAAGTCTTATCTGGTTACAGTCCAATTTTGGCAAGGGCCCAGAGTAGCATTTTCTTTATCCATATATTGTACTTATTTTCCCCTCAGGCTGCTTACAAGGATAGGAATTGACAATAAAATGCAAAGGCAGCATCTGTTTGCCTACAGTCCAAACTTTTAAGGGCAGGAGACAAAGTAGAGGATGGAAGATTGGCTTTGGTTATTGAAGAATCCAAACTTTTTCTTGCAACCAAGTTCCCAGCGGCTGCACGTTCTCTGCCAACCCCAACTCTTCAGTCCCAGCTAATAAGCACAAAGCTATCTATCCAGGTAGAGTGGACAGATGCACATTTAATGCACATGGACATGCATGAAGAACACTGAGGATGAGTGAAACAAGATTAAAAGTAGGAATGATTTTCACTGCCAGTATTCAACTGAACCCTGTGCCTAGTTCATTTGACTAAGGTTCTTTTCTCTTTGCCTCCCGATACTGATTAAACACTGAACCACAGTTTTGATTTTAACTATATGTAGAAAGGATTAAATAAATCTACTTAAGACTTTTCTGCTCCATTCCACATCTTGTGTGTCAAAGAAACAACATTCTAATTCTTTTAATGAAAAGCAAAGCAAAAGCTTTGTTTGAAATGGGTTGTTTCACTGCTTCTCCCTTCTTGTTAAAAATACTCTTATTTCTCTTCAGTTTCTACAGAGGTACAAGTGGAATGTATTTTCATTTCTGCCTCAATTCCAAGCCAGATAGGAAATAAAATCCCATTTCTTCTTTCAAAGCAGGCCTTCACTGCATTTAACTAAGCCTTGGGTCAGCCTGGTAAAAATCTGTAAGCTGAATTAAAACCCTAGCCAGCCTCAAGTGGCGGGAACTGTTTCTTTACTGGAATGCCTTTTCATAACACTTATTTGTGGGGTCTACACCTCTTGCTTTTTCTCTAGGACTTCAAGGAGACCTGAGTGGTATTTCCATCTCCAGATTTTGCTGAAAATTGTAAAGTAGATCAGACTTAGAGAGCGTGACTATTTCATAGATGTCCAGTGGCTGATGTGGACTCTATACACAAGAGACAAGAAATTCTGCTCCAGGAATAGGGAACAAATAACAGGTAATTTCTGTCCCCATATGACAATGCCAAACATGCCTATTTGTTAATACATTCAATCATAATCTGCCTTCCTATATTTTAAATCCTTTAATTTAAATCCTACATTCTGGGCTGATATATACTTTCTGTTTAACTTTCCATGTGTTAAATCTTCTCAAAACTAAACAACCCCATTTCCTGCAGCCTCTTCACAAGACGCAGAACAAATGAGTTTGGCCATTCAGCAAAATTGTTCAGTTGCTGGTCACTTTAACTCCATTTGCCCAAGAAAGAATTGAATCCATGAAAACTGTATTAGAAGCTAAATGTTTTGCAGATGTATCACACAATTAATTAACAAGTACCCCTTATGCTAAAAAGCCTCTACCATTGATCAATGAAGAGGATGGAGAAAGATATAGACCAATTTAGATATAATCATCTACTTCTTCCCATGTTTTGTTGTTAGATCGTAAACGTTCTAAGATGTCTTTCTCCAAGAAGGGACAAATGTAACTGACTCACTTTTTGTAACCATTCAGAGCCTCCCATGGAGTTCCTACAAAATTTTGGTCTTCTACATCAGGGTTCTTCAAAATTGGCAACGTTAAGACTTGTGGACTTCAACTCCCAGAATTCACTAACCTGCATGGCTGGCTGAGGAATTCTAGAAGTTGGAGTCTACATGTTTCAATCTTTTTGTTGTGGTGTCCCCAAAGTGCATGTGAACATGATAGCGTGCGTGTGCCAGCACCCGCAACGCAATGCACCCCCGTGCATGTGAGCGCAACACCCCCACCCGCCCCTTTACCTGCACTGCGTATGCCTCCCAGCTGATTTTCGGCCCATTTGAGGCTGTTTTTGCCTTCCTGGAGATTTGAGGCAAGCCTCTGCAGGCTTGGGAGGCTGAAAACGGGCCCATTTCAGCACTTCTGGCATTTCTGGAAGACCTATTTTTCAGCCTCCTGAGGCTGCAGGTTTCCCTCGAGCCTCCAGGAGCCTCAAACAGGCCAAAAATCAGCTGGGAGGTGCGTGCATGCACAGTGCAGGTAAGTTTGGCTGGGGCTCACGTGCCCACACAAATAGCTCTGCGTGCCACATGTGGCACACATGCCATAGGTTCGCCATCACGGTTATAAACTTCCTGCATTCTGAAACTTCTAGAATGGCAAATCTATCACATTCTCCACAGTATATTGGTTAACGTTATACAATTTCTGAAACTGAATGCCTAAATTGCCTCTACTTCTTTCCATTTATTTAGCTTTATGTACATATTACAGCAGACAATTACTGCATTTTGTGATATCTGCGAAGCATTTAGAAAACTCAGGGACTGCAATTGCATTATTTTATAGCTATGTGCTCTGAAATTCCAAGAAACTTTTATTACATGTATTCTATACAACTATGAACAAGGGAAGATTTTAAAAAAACAAAACTGGGAAACCATTTAACCCAGTACTAGTCTACTAATCTTCAATATATAGTCTTTTCCCAAGATCAATCATCTCTATTAGCAGCTGGATCTATGCATTACAGGTAGCCCTTGACTTACGACCACAATTGAGCCCATTCATTTTTATTGCTAAGCAAGGCAGTTGTTCAAGTTCTGCCCCCTTTTATGAACTTTGTGCCAGTTCAGTGAACCCCTACAGCTATTAAGTGAATCGTGCAGTCATGAAATGATTCGGATATCCTCCCATTAACTTCATCAGGCAGGTCACACCTGATCCCAGGACACTGCAACTGTCATAAATACATGCCAGTTGCCAAGAGCCTGAATTTTGAGCATGTTACTATGTTGCAATGGTCGTTAAGTGTGAAAAACGGTGGTAAGCCACTTTTTTTCCAGTTAACTTTGAATGGCCCCTAAACAAAATACGTGTAAGTCCAAGACTACCTGTATGCCATTCCATAATGCTCCCGAAAAGGAAATTTTACTTATTTTTGATGCCAGGGGTTTGAATAGTGCCCTCAGATATGCTATACAGGTAGGTGTATACACTTTAAGCAAGGCCTTTAAGAGGGGGTGGCCTGGAATGAAGCCAATGCAGCCCCTTACCATCAGCCAAGATGGGTATGCCCCTGCTCCATGCAAGGCTCCGCTGGAAGCTGCCTCTGTTACTCCAGACTGGGCATCCATGACGGCGCTTGTAAGGGGTGGGTGGGGATGGGGGACGGTGCAGAGGAAAAGACCAGGATAGCGAACTGGGAGGGCATGAAGGGGTGAGCGGGGCCTCTGACCAGGGAGAGGCGGTCACTGCTAGAGAGTGAGCAGCCCCACAGACACAGTGCAGCAACAATTGAAAAATCGAATAGAAATAAAATATTAAAAAATGAAAAATAAAAATAAAAAAGCGTAGGAACTTCCTGAGTTGTTCAAGTAAGTTCTGGAGAGGTATGAGGTTCTGTTCTTGGCAGCCAGGCGATCAGTGAGGGAGGGAAAAAAAAGAGTTAAACGTGATCAATCCACTTTCTTTTTTTTAAAAAAAAATGTGTTTTAAAAACCTGGTATGTGTATTTTTCCCCCCCAAGGGGTTATAAAAGCCCAGAGTCAGTTAGGATCATTCAGAAAAACTCCATTTTCATCTGGTTAAAAATCAGCAGTCATTTTTTTTAAATCACCACCATGAGCAACACATCATCATAGTCACAGTCACCACCATTATTGCAGCAATAATATCAATAAAGTAACTAGCAACAACGATAAAAAGGAAATCAGTGGAAAGGCAGGAAAAAAAACGGAGAAAAATTGGAATAACTTACTGTAGCTGAAGATCAAAAAAATCTCACTGTAAAAAAACAAAAATAAAAATAGTCCAGATTAGAAAAACGGGAGATGTAAAAAGGTCAAAGTCAATAACGATTTTTTTTTGTTTTTCTCTTTCTGTCCTTTTTTTCCCCCCCTTTCAAGCTCTCATTCCAGCCACGGTTATGGCAAAACCTGGCAGAGGAGAGAGTTCCTGGCAGAAAATAATCCAAGCCCTTTTGAACACCATTTCATTCTAAAAATGGCCTAAGAAAGGCCAGCTCATACGAGGCTAAAAGGTTCTTCCTCTAACCCAGCTGCTGCAGGGAAAAAAAAAAGGTGATTTTTTCTCCCAAAATTACATTTTTCAATCCAGCTTTTTTTTTTTTTTGCTTGACTGCAAGGCAACACTGGGCCACAAAGGCACCGTTTTATTAAAACAACTTGTACTGAGACAATGGGAGAGGGTGTGCGTGTAGTGGGGTGGGTGTGGGGTTTAAAAAATAAAATAAAAATAAAAACAAGCTGAGCTCCAGTGAAGGAAGGGTTGGGGGTTTTCTCCTTGCTGCCCTGTGAAAGGAGAAGGGACAGGATGAGTCAAGGGTACCCCAGAAACTTTGCCCGCATCTCCCAGTTTTCCCCCCACCCCAGAGAACACCAGCTTCTGGTCCCATGTGGCTACTCCAAGTTCAAAGCAGCCACAGGTGTGCTTAAGCTGCCACCTTGATCTTGCCATGTCTGTTTCTTGCCAATGAGTCGTGCTGGACGACTTCAAAGTCACCTGCATACTTGTCATAGGTAAGAGTTCAGAGATCTCTAAAGCAAAGAGGAAATCTGAGCACATGCACACATGTCATACACATACACACAGAGAGAGAACAGAATCAAGGGAAAAGAATCAAGGTCTATACAAGAAGTGTGTTCGCTGGTCTTCTGCTAGGTTTTCATTAGTGGTAAAAGAACCAGCAATATAAATTTCTAGAATTCAGATATCACCCCCACTTATCTACCTTTCCACTTACCAACCACTCAAATCCTAGGTAACAGGGGCAGAGAAGTCCCCCACCTATCTTTTCACCCATACCTATTTAAATTACAGGTAATCCTTGATTTATGAATATAATGGACCCTGTCAATTACATTTGTAACCTGAGGATTCATTAAATGAACGTGAAAATGTTTTTGCCCAAGCATTCGCTAATTGAATGCGCAGGTCATTTAGGGCACATGAGGTATCTCAGGGTGGGGAAGGCCATTGGGGGGGGTGTCTAGTGATAGAACAGACCACTCCTTAAGACCACCCAAAGTCTCCCCGGACCTACTGAGATACCTCATGCTCCCAACAATTGTTTCCCCCCACCATCCTGCCATGCCAGGTCACTTACCTGGTGAAGATCTAGTGAGCTGTCTTTTCTGCAGCCTCTCTGCCGCGTAAGATCAGGGTGCCTAGAAGCTTGCAGTCTCCGCACAAAAGGTTTGCAAGTCGGTGGGGACGCTTTGAGTGGGATAATTTCACGCCCTCAAAGCCTCCTGGCAGCCTGCAAACATTGCACGGAGCAGCTTTTTTTTTGGGGGGGGGGGACCATGACTTCGTAGCCTGAAGTCCCACAAGATCACGGCCCCCAGAAGCTTCCAGTCTCCATGCAAAATATTTGCAAGTCGATCGGATGCTGGAAGCTAAATCATCCCGCTCTCAAAGAAACCGTGCCAGAGAGGAGACAGATCTTTGCAAGTGAGTCTGACGTGGCAGGATGGGTTGGTGGATAGCAATTCTGGAGACTCCGCTGGCTGGGATAGGAAGGATGAATGTTGTGGTGCTTCTGCAGACATTTATAAGGTTGAACTACTGCCGTGGTGCTGTAATATGCATAATTTTGGGACTGTGTTGTAAATACTTGGGGGGGGGGGGGAGGTCATCACGTAACTTTGAATGGTCACTAAGTGAACCGTCGTAACTCAAGAATTATACCTGTATTAATTTCACTTTTCCTTGACACTTCCTCAGTGTTGTTTTCTCTGTGGGAAAACAGCCTGTCTTTCAAATGATCAGTCTGATCCCAAATGCAACAAGATGCAAGCTTAAGAACAAGCCATTTTGGAATTTATCAAGAGAAAAATACAGCAATGTTTAAGTAAACCTAAGTCTCTACTCAGATGATCAGAAAAAGCTTTTACAGATTAGCTTACAAAAATTGTTGACCAATTCAAGCTGCGGGTGGCCATAGAAGCTTTCCTGACTATTGGGACAGTTAAGTTTTGGTAACAGAAATCTAGGCAAAAATTAAGTTCAAACCTTCTAAATAAGCAAATTCAATGAGGAAGCCAGATTCACTTAACAACCATGTGACTAACAGCTGCAACAATTCACTTAACAAATGTGGCAAGAAAGGTAGTAAAATGGGGTCAAACTCACTTGACAAATGTCTCACTTAGCAACATTAAATTTTGAACTTAACCGTGGTTGTACCTGTGTTGGTGGATGGTCAAAGACCAGATACTTCACTTGTGATTGCCTAGTTGTGGATTTAAATCCTGGCCTAGAGCAAATTCTTGCCATTATAACTTACCCATGTAGTATAGTAAAATATTGGAAAACATGTGTCTGTGTCTGTGTAATGTGCAAATTATGACTGGGGAGTCTGTGCCTTTTCATGCTGAGAATTATATACAGTGCTATGATCAAATTTGGGAGTGAATTATGAACTTGTAAGTGGTCCTCAACTTACGACCACAGTTCAGCCCATTGCTAAGCAAGACAGTTAAATGAGTTTTGTCCCATTTTATGATTTTTCTTGCCAATTCTTAAGGGAGTCATTGCAGTTGTGAAGTTAGTAACCCACTTAAAGTGAATCTGGCTTCCTCATTGTCTCCGCTTGCCAGGTGAGCAAAAGGTGATCACACAATGGACATGGCATCCATCATAAATACATGCTATCATAAAATTTGCCCAGGATCCAAATTTTTATCAGATGACAATCAAACTGTTGCTTTGGTCATGTGAAAAATGATCATAAGACATTTTCAGTGCTGCTGCAACTTTGAACAGTCACTAAATGAATGGAGGACTACCTATTCCGGGTGGCCAGAGTGTTCTTAGGTTATTTGCATTTGTTACCCCTCTTAAGTTACAACTTCAATAATCGGATTGGTAGCAAGGTAACTTCGGGCTCTGTTAACATGTGCAGAATTCTTGTATCTCTACAACTGCACTGTTTGAAAAGTGTTGAGATTGGTATGGATTCTTGCCGAGACGCTATCTTGTTATGAAACAAGAACAAAAAACAAAAAAAGGCTTGTGGTTTTCAACCTGAGACTAATCTATCAGCCCTTCAATGCAAACTGCTTTTCAAACTTTCATTTTTCATACCAGGGACTACAAGCAAAGCAGAGAGAGAGGGAATAGGAAGATACAAAATATCCCACCATCAACTGGTTTTTTAAAAAATTAGAGACTTCCTCCTAAACCTGACACTGGTCCAAACTAGCTCATGCAAGTTTAAAACATTAAGCACAAGTTCAAAGAAAAAATGCATTACGAGTTGCATCATTTTTGTTGGCAAACACAGCACACAGTCTGTTTCTATCAAATAAATTGTTAATTCCGAAATGTGCCTTTGCTCTAAAAATATAAAGGCAAGCCCTTCTGAAGTTTATGTCACTTACCGAAATTAGCACGAATAAAACTCTTTTAAAAAATACATAGTAGTATTTTTTTGTGTCAGTCTTTCGTGGGAACAAATTCATACTGAATGCAACTGCATTTGTTTACACTTAAGGAATACAATTCTATTCCCAAAAATGCTATATACTTGTTTTACAATGAACATGCATTCCCAGTGCAAAATCCTTAAAATGTCTACAGTAGCAATACTACATGAAATAGCACTTATTTTTATTGCTCCAATGTAAATGTATGTCAGATAGCTGTCCAAGTATATAGTGTGCCAATTTTGATACTTTTAGGCATTTTTATCACCTGCCATTTAACCTCCCTAACTTATGAAGTGTTTAAAAAAAATTCTGCCAAAAATCACAATCTGATCATGGTAAATGTGCGATATAGTGTGCGTATTATTGACGCTTTTAAGCAATTTATATCCACAATTCAACCTTCCTAGCCTATAATAGCATGTACGTTCAAAAAAAAAAAAACCTACTGCAAATCACAATCTGATCATGCTAAGTGTGTGATATAGTGTGCAAATTCTGATGCTTTTAGGCATTTTACCATCCACAATTCAGCCTCCCTAGTCTATTAAGAGTGTGGGTTTAAAAGAAATCTGCTGAAAATCACAATCTGATCATGGTGTGTGATATAGTGTGCAAATTCTGATGCTTTTAGGCGTTTTACCATCCGCAATTCAGCTTCTCTGGTCTATGACAGCATGTGCATTTTTAAAAAATCTGCCAAAAATCACAATCTGATCATGGCAAATGTGCGACAGTGTGCAAATTCTGATGCTTTTAGGCATTTCTGCCATCCATGTAAAATCTTCATATCGCGCCTTACAAAAAAAATAGTTATTTTGTTTAACAAATGGGGCGGCCTTCTGCCTCTACTTTCTAAGGTAATTTTTTTTAAAGGTCGATTTTACAGCCCTGGGATCTCCTGGTGGTCTCCCATCCAAGCACCACCTGGATTTGTCAGTAGCTTCCCAAGGTCCAGTCTGTTGTGTGCCATCTGCTGAGGCATTTGGCATCTTGTCTTCCTGACCTGGACTATCAATCCGGATTAGACGAAGGAGATCCGACCCTGAACGCCCAATAAAGGTCAGGCAGGCCCCACATCCAAGCATGTGTTCCCTCGTTTAAGCCGGCAGCCATACCTGCGAATGGGATCTACGCGCACACCTCACACGCTTTCTATATATTCAGGGGTAGGCACACACCATAGGTTGAGTATTCTTACAACCCACATAAACGCATTAGCCTACCACAAATACACACATACATACACATAGACGGCCACACGTTTTCCTCTCCTTC